AAGGAGAGGTGCAAAATAAGGCTGGAAGAAATTTGCCGAGGGCGACCAACATGATGTCCCTGGTATTTCGAAGTTTCCTTGATCGGAGCTTCTTTCCTACTTAGTCGGGCGATATTTTCTGACTCATGTGCAATTGTGTTTCGTTTTCAACAGTATGACTGTGCAATTCTGTGTTCTTTTCAGGAGTATGACTGTGAACTGGAAGGAAGTGCTATAAGATCTGCGCAGCGATGTTCACGGGACAGAGACTCGTCGCTTAAATCTGATGTACAAGAGAACATTCGTCTATTCTCGAAGACGCAAGCTTCTTCTGAGAGAGATGCACTCATTTTTGTCAGTCCACATTGATCCTTAGATGACGTATGAGAGAGAGAGGACAATGATCGTTAAGGCTGTCAAAAGGTGGTGGAGACAGATAAGGTGGACCGGTGGTATTGGACAGCGCGTCACCTTTACACAATACAATGCTGGCTCGGCCGTTGAATGGTTCACCAGGGTCAGATTCTTTATGAAAGTTCCCACGAAGAGATAGTTCATTATCTGTTTAAAGAGGGTAGCTTTTCGGAAATTGCACGAAATATTTAGCTTGCAGATGGCATGGGCAACAACTCAAAGAATCGGATGTGCCGTAACGACTTGTAACAGCAACAACTGGAATGTTGTTTGCCACTACAGCCCTGGGTTTGTTTACCTCATCTGCTTTTGATTTTGTGATAAACTTGGTGGTTTCACCTCTGTGGAGGGTCAGAATCTGGGCTCTAAAAGCCATCTTTGACAGCAGTCTTGTTGATCACCTTTTTAGGAGTGTCAGGCAGAGCACCGCCATGTATCTTATCTTTTCAGAGGAAACATAGCTAATCAGCAGATCTACAAGACGGGATCAACTTGTTCTGATTGCCCTGCAAATCCCTCTACTTTCTGCAACGAAAACGGCCTGTGCCAACTTGCTTCTACATTTGCATGAACTCCATAGACAACTCTTCCCTTTTGACTTTGCAAAATAAAGAGTTTCGTGTTTCCACTTGTAGAAAAATAAGGTCGTCCCGCGAAGAAGCTTTTCTGCTTGTCGCAAAAACCAGCTAGGTACCCAGTTCCATTGCTCGTGCATGTGAGAAGCCTCTTCGAGAAAATCGGTCGTCTCAAGAACAAATTTCGTCACGTTCAAGCGGTCGGAATAGGATTTCAACAGTAATGTAGTTGCAGGCTGTACTACTGGTGAAGAAGGAAAAGGTCGCTTGGCGAAGACTAGATGAAATATGATATTCACGATCAGCTGCACGACGCGCGAGACGATGAACTCTGAGATTTGAGGAATAGAGAGTAAAACGATGAGCGAGAAATCGCAACGAAAGACATAGGCGTTCCAGGCTGACATGAGCTCCCAGGGTCTATATTATAAGCCTTCAGCCTCTTTGCTTCACTTTCGGAAGGTCGAAAAGGAAGAGCACTTCCAAGCAAGGCTCATCGTGTAGGGATTCCCTAAGTGGTGCTGGATCGCTGAGATAGGGAAGGAGGTTCCTCGAGGGCTGAGGAAAATAGTTTCGATATCTTATTTTTGTTGTTACAAGGACTTTTTAAGGGGGGGGGGTGTCGTTTTGTTCATTGTTAGCAGGAGAGGTCGTGTTTCTCGTCTGAGAAAGACTACTGGGGGTACTGGTTTTTCGCAGTTTTTCCTGTTTCATGAGTACTATATATAGCCTTCCCCCTCTTGCTCGACAGTAAAACCTTTAGGCAAAAGTGGAAAATTTTCGGGAAATTCTAAAAAATGGTAGGAACTTTGGGAAAATCTAAGAAAGCAATATTATGAGGTGGGTGGGGAAGGGTGGTATTTTCCTGGCGGTCCTAGTCCCTCCCCCCGATCGACAGTTCGATCAGAGGAGGGAACTAGGAGGGGGAGTCTACCAGCACTTAAAAGGGAGGGGGAAGGAGGGAATACGGACCAAACCGAAATCTCTGACTAATTATGTGCCCTGCTTTCAAGAAATATCGTGTATTATCCTATGTATCAGGTTGTCCGAAAGAATCTGGGAAAATCTTGCTAGTATACTTCGAAGAAGTGCGGTGAGCAATTGCCTTAACGCAAGACTGCATGTCAAATAGTTTGAGAAGGAGAAATGGTCGTAGATCAAATGCAGTGCCAATGGTAATATTGTTCTTTTTTTACTTGAGCTAATTCTGGCTGAAAATTAGACCAACACCGCAACTTAAAACGCCCTTCACTTCATTTTCACCACTATCACTCAAATGGGGCACGGGCTCTGCTGCCGCACCTGACAAAACACTAGTCAATATTACCTGTAGTGAAAGCTCTATCGCTTATCGATGTAGAGTTTCAGCTTCGATGATGCATTTGTACCGCTTTAACGGTACTCATTTCATCCTGGCTCTTGCGCAAAACTGTACTGCCCAAAAGCTAAGGGGGAATTAGGGGGCTTGAGGGTAACTATTGACGCGTACCTCTTAGTGTTGTTAATAAGTGTTGAGTGAACTGTTTAGAAGTTCTAAAAATTTTCCAAACATCCTAATATAATCTGACAACTATATCTGTGTTTGCGCGTGCGTGTGCCTATCACAAAAGTCACAGCGTCCATCCCAGTGGCAGTAGGAAGTTTGTTCCATGATGTGATATACGGGACGTAAGAATCAAGAATTATTGACAGGAAGTGGTAGCAGCTGAGAAGCTCTGATAAGGAGTACATGGAGAGAAAGGTTAAAATCATTGACTCGCCTCAGGAAGATGCTAGGAAAGGTGCTAGGAGCACACGGGACTCCTGAAACGCGAAATATGAGCAGACACAAATAATTTTTGTTGACCAAACACTTTCTCAATGTCTTGCACTTGAACGTCGTTGTTAAACAAGATAAAAACAAAATCGAATATTCCTTGTTCTTACATGCACTCGTTTTTAGAGTAAGTATTTGTAGCTGCGTAGCGCCTTTTCCAAGGAAGGTACCCTTATAAGGCCCTATCGAGCTGCAACATACCGGCCCGGACCCACCGCGCCCGCCCTCCCACAAATGGGCAGCAGTATCTGATGCTCGCATTGCTTCATTTGTGAAGTAAAATGTGAAGGAAATGGATTTATACCCCTTATCCCTGAGCCAGAGTAGACGTGACATTTACATGGCACGGAATGGGTTACTCGTGGGATATTTCAGACTGGGACAACTGTCATCTTGTTCTGTTGTGAACAGAGACGATCGTGTCAACATGAAAATATCTCACCAGAAGCAATCCACCTTCAGGCTTAGTTGAAAAACGCAGCCACCACCATTGTCGGGATTTCGAGAACACAGTGGCGGCCAAAAAAGTCAGTATCCTTCATTGAGGCGCTATAAGCTATACTTTATTAGATTCTGATCGGACATTTTCACCACCATATTAAAGAGCATATTAAGTACTAACATGACACTCCGCCACAGCCTTCTGGACGAGCGCCATCGAGAGATCCTTGTCGCGATGTGGTGCCTGAAATCAGCGAGATAGTCGATTTCTCCGCCACCGTAGACCACCTCATTGAACTCCACCCAAACCGGATAATTTATTTATTTAGTTGTTATGCACATCAGGTGCGCTTCCACAGAACTCAACTTCTACTAGCAACGATCTACGATCTTACCTAAACTGAGAAAAAGAAGGAAAACAGAAATCAATCAGGAATAGGTAAAGTTCTCCAATCAGGAATTTGCTAGAGTACTAAAAAAGATTAACAAAAAGAGTCAGCACTGCCACCTATAGATATCATCTGCCATGGGGTTAATAGCAATAGCTCAAGAAAATTAATTCAGTGACGGATGGCGATAGGGCAAACGCCACTCCTATATAGAAACCAAGCATGGAATCGGGAACTGAATTTTCGGATGTTAGGTATTCCCTATCCCTAACAATTCTGTTAGCTTGTTCTAAACTGGTCTATCTGAGGCAGTGCCCCTAGATGTTGCCTAGTAAATGGAGATAAATCCCGGCTGGAGATCCATACCCGTAATTCGAACGCGGTTTAAGTAAGATGCAGTGTACTGCAAGAAGATAGTGTCAAAAAAAGCAGAAAAAGAAAAAAGACAGGAACCAAAGGAAACGAATGCACAAGGAATGAAAAATGAACAGCAAACGAGGCACCGATCTGGCTGATATGCGCAGCTAATAGATCAGGCTAAACTGAAGCAGTGAAAAATAAAGGAGCATCAGAAAAAAAGCCCATATCAAAGGTAGTCAAATCCAGCAAGGAAAAAAAAACACTACATAAGTTCAAGCATCTTCAAAATCGAAGAAAGCGGTAATTTTCTCAATCTGCGACGGAATATCTGAGCGTTTTGAGAATCAGTCACATCCCTAGGAAGTAGCCGAAACCATCGTGCTCCACGAATGAAAATGAGGTTGTCTACTCTGGCAAGGCAACGTCTGCTGACAACAGGCATATGGAAAGACAGGTATACCGTATGATCACGAGACGGCCTAAAAATCCAATATTTACTAGGTCTCAGCTTTGTCTCCCCCTTAAGAATTCTGAAGCAGAAAACTAAATCGTTTACAACACGACGGAAGAGCAAGCTATTTAGATTAAACATTCGCAGTCGCTCCTTATACGAAGGCAGAGTGTTCAGGGACGGATCAGAAGAGGACCTATGATAAAGGATCTTAGTGAAAATCTGTTGAATTTTCTCCAACTTAGATTGGCTTTTCTTGATAAAAGGACTCCAGACTTGGGAGCCATACTCGAGAATTGGCCTGATATAGGTTTGTAGGGTTTAAGTAAGATCGATACATCATTGCATTTAATATTACGACATATAATGAACAACGTTGATAAAGCCTTTCGAAAAATATCATCTATATGTTTCTCAAAAGTCAGACTGCTACTTATGTAAATTCCTAGGTCACGTACCAAATCAGAGCTCTTTAATGTCGACCCCTCGAAACTATATTCTGTAGGTGCACCATTTCCGAAATGCAGTACGACAGTTTTTGAAAGGTTAACAGGAAGATCCCATGTCACGGACCATTACATCATATTTGAAATGGACCGTGACATAGCTTCCTGAATGACAACTCTGTCCTCCTCCTTGTAGAAACCACAAACCTTGATGTCCTCTGCATATGGCTGGACTCGAACTGAGGAATGAGTTCTCAATAACGATGGCAGGTCATGTGTGTAGGCAAGGAAAAGTAGGGGGGACAAAACACCACCTTGTGGCACACCACTAAGGCAATCGCAGAGACTAGAGTAGGAATTTTCTACCTTGACACACACATTGTTCTATCCGTAAGATAGGATCGTAGCCAGTTTAGAAGCATTCCTTGAACCCCTAATTGCTCCAGCTTGAGCAGAAGCTTCATGTGGTTTACTTTGTCAAACGCCTTAGACAGATTGAAGTAGATAACATCAATTGAATAACCCTCACCCAGTGCCACACTCCAATCATACATGGAGTCGGTAAGTTGGGTTACAGTAGAAGCCCCATTAGTGAATCCATGCTGTTCGCAAGGTATAACGTGATTCTGTGCAAACCACGAAAGCAGCTTATCTCGAATTACCTTCTCCAGAATTTTGACGGGAGGAATCGTAATGCTGATGGAAAGTTAGACACCAAAGAACACTTGGGAGTTTTTGGAATAGCGGTGATGACAGCCTTTTTACATATCATGGGGACTTCACCATACATCAAGGAGGCATTGAACAACATTGTTAGCGGCTTAGCAAGCGCAGTGGCACAGTTTTTATAAATAATTTGGGGTATTCCATCAGCAGTTACAGAAGTAAACTTTTTTAGTGATTTTAACAGTGACTTCACTGGGGTGGATTACAAAGTCATCCAACCCCAAAGAAGTCTTTCTTTCAAGATTGGGACAACTCGTATCACTATTGCGTACAAAGACCGAGGCAAAAAAACCACCCAAAGCTTCTGCTTTTTGATCATCCTCAGCGTATCTGTTCCCTGAATCATCATGTAAAACAGGAAGCTCGCAACATGGGTTGATTTTGGCCTTGACTAGCGAAAAAAAACAAGTTTTTATTAGAACCACTGTATACCCGTCTTTCAGAGTTTGCTAGGAATCTCTTTGGGTGATAGTCTAGCTTTCCGCAGATGTTCCTATATTGTTGGTTTGGGACACCATCTGTCAAGTTGCCGAAAAGGCGGGTCTTCTGAGAACTTAAATTTAGAAAATGCCTAGGGTAGCGCAAACGCTTAATTTTCCTCGGACGAAGAGGAACAAAATGCACTAAAGAGGAATAAACCGCATCCCAGAATCTTTTATAAAGATCTTCAGTTGACTCGTAACCATCGAAAAGCTCCCACCAGTCTCAGAGGACGCAAATGGAGGTAAAATTGAAATCTGATTCAGCATTGGTGCCGAAGTTAGCACAATATCCAGTATAGAAGTTCCACGAGTAGGTTTGAGAACATGTTGAGTTAGTCCACAGCATTTGAACAGATCAACGAACTTTGTAGAAGTGGTGTTATTACCCCTCAACGTAGACCAATTAACATCAATATTGAAATCACCCAACAGCATTGGGGCGGCTGCCAGTAAGGCCCAGATTCAAAATTGCGTCCATTAGTTTTTCACCCTCAGTTGAGACTGACCCTGGGGGGCGATATACTAGGATCACTCTTGATGAAGAGATGTCAAAATCATCAATTCCTTCGACCACCACGACATCAACTTTCAGATTCTGAGGAACATCAATAGAAATAAAATTCACAGAATTCTTGGCAAGGCAGCGTACTCCTCCACCGCGACGCTTGCTACGGTCTACTCGAAAAAGCTTATAAGGAAACTCATTAATTATCTCAAAATCAGCAATATTTGATGAAAGCCACGACTCAGTTATAAAAACTAAATCCGGGTTATGGAGAGAGAGCAACAGATGCAAATGATTCAACTTATCCGAGAGGCTTCGCGCATTAAACAAGAACACTTGAGTCCCGAGCAGTTACCGTGATTCACTACGTTTCCCAGAGCCCTAGGCTGAGAAACCTCATCAATACGTCGCAACTCGCCATAAACGACCCAAGTTCGCTTCATTTGTTCTTTATTTCGATCCCGACATATTAGTCTAAAGTCAGCTTCTTTTTTACGTTCGGCAGTCGTCATACTTCGTCGTATATAAACACTGCTATATGCCGAACTACGTAGTCTCCTAGCATTAGCCAGAGCCGCCTTCCAATGCGAGCGAGAAGGCAGCACGACCTTCACCAGGCGGGGAGTTGTTCATTCTCTTTTCTCTTTCTCTTTCTTCTCTGTAGTTCATTCTCCCTACGTAATCTATATATTTCGACAGGCCTACATTCCACATTTAAGATGTCTAGAATTTCACTAACCTTGGCTTCGAGATCAATCTGCTTAGCAGAAGGCGTAGGATTACCTGGTGATTCCGGGAGTCCAGACAATATGATACTTCTCGATTTTATCTGATTCAATGCCATCAGCAATTTCATGGGGAATTTTCGAAAATAGAGCTTGAACCATTGCTTCTATAGTGGGATCTGAATTACGCTTTAAAATAGCATTGAGAATCTCTGTTGTTGCCATGCTAGAATAATCTACCTGAGATGAAACAGTATTATTACTGTCAAGAACTTGATTAGTCTGCAAAGCGCATTGCTGCACACTCATCGAATCCGGTGCCTTATTCCTTCCACGGGTCTCAACAGGCACGGTTACGAATCGCAAATAGAAAAGTCGGGCAAGAACTCAATTATTTGTGCAAATTGCGGAAGACTGTATAATTCTCACACTTAAATGCAGGCAATGACAGGGAGAAATCAAAGTGCCTACTAGCAAATATTCCGTACAACAAAAGGAAAACCTGTGAAAAAAATACTTGCAAGATGCAGAGATATGAAAAACCAGGAAAGAAGTGGATCCAACACCAATCACGACAGGAGGCGCGCTTTTTCGAAAGTTGAACTTTGGTCTCTGATAATCGATAATCAATACCTAGGCACGTATTCACATATACTTAAATTATATAAGAGTACGTGTAAAGTTATGTGCTTGTGTACACTGGAACGTATTAACACGAATTTGTCACCGAAACTAAACTGAAATAGAAGGAAAATCCAAAATGAAAGAGTAAGCAACTTATCTTTTGTACAGAGATCCGCTATCCGACCGCTCGCTGCGCGCGCCCGTGATTGATTGAAGGGATTCAGCTCAGTTGACCTACTTGGATATTCCATCTTCTTCAGGTATTCAGCCCTCTTCTATTCCAAGTGGGCGAGTGTTTCTCCAATCCACGTGGTGGCACCCAATACGTCAGTCCATACCATTAACCCGCGCCTTGGAGACTTTGGTGAAGATGATGCCCTAGACCGTGGCAACGTTGTCGGAGCTGCTCGATGTTGGAGATCTTCCAGATCGAGAGTACTGGTCTCCAGGTAGCTATTCATGGGTGACTCCATACTAGAAATTTCGCAGCTGTTTGAAGGTGACATGAATTCCAATGTTCTTCTCTAGTAAGGCTGCAACTGGAGATGACTTCATATTTTGGTGGACATGAAGGTGGTGGGCGTGAGCCAGCTCCTGCTTATAGAGGAACATCCTGGGGGATCTTCCGCCCTGGTACTCGTATCCATATCTTCTCTCTGGGCTGCAAAAACTTTGCTGATATGTGACTCGGTCGAAGTGAATTTTTTTGCCCCCCCCCCTCTACATGAAACGGCCGCGGTGCTGCATGGATATGTGAGAGCATATGCGCTACGTTGTTTCTGACGTAGCGGTAAGTGGCAAGATATCCACTAGTGGATACCTGGGTAGGATAGGGTCTATAAGGTGATTTACAAATATAGACAGCAAAACTGCAACCTGCATTTCACAAGCAACTTATGAGCAAGTAAAGTTCGTAATGGTGCAGTGGGGTGGAAGCTTGTTGGTGAGCTGTGAAGCTTAAGCGAAGAATCGCATGAGTCGAATTGAGTCGTGGTGGTTCAAGTCGGTAAGGTTCAACGTTCGACAACTCTATTCGACGGATGCGATTCCTCGCTTATTCTTCACAGCTCACCTCCAAGCCTCCACTCTATTGCAGACTTTACCGCTCGTAAGTTGCTTGTGAAATGCAGTTCGCAATCTTTCTATCTATATTTGTAAATAACCTTAGACTCTATCAATCGACCCAGGTCTCCATTCAAAGTTGCCGTTAGGTTAGCGGACTTACCTGGTAGGTCCTGTAAAACGGGAGCTTTCTTCGCAGGTTTTTGACCATTTTTCCTACTATATACACCCTGCTAACACTTTGGACCAAATACCAAATTATCGTGCCATATGCCTTCAATGAACTTTTTCGTGGAATTCCTAGTGCAGTATTGCTCAATGTATTGGAGTAAGTAGAGAAAAAACTTCTTTTCAACTTTGCTTTCGAATGACGCAAGCAACTGGAAAAGAGAAGGCTCAAAGAGAAACAAAACAAGTTTGTTTTGCTTCTGTGGTCGGTGCCGAACAGAGCCTGAGGTTTTTCTGGTTGATTTCAATATCGTGCGAACAAGACATTCACTGCAATTCCTTTACTTTCAGAAAAACTGGCACCTAATGCCAGCCTCATGTGAGAAACAAATGTATTTCTAGCACTATTCAACTATTACTACCAATTTTGCGAAAAATCCTGACCAACTTTTTCTACGGGGGCGGATTCGGCTGAAATTTGGCTTGTAGGGGTAGTTCGACCTCCTGAACACAAATATCACATCCACTTGGCCTCAAAGTGCCTGGCGCCTGAGCCACGGGCGCCACTGATTTTGGGCGTTTTGACGCCTGCGCCTGTGACGCGGGCGCCGAGTGGATCTGATTTTCATGTTCATGAGGTCGAACTACCCCTGGGCACAAGTTTTCAGCGGACTTTCTGATCTAGGGTACTTTGGCGCCTGTGGCGCGGGCGCTAGGCAGTTTCAAGAGGAGCGGATGTATTCGTGTTCAGGAGGTCTAATTACCCCTAGAACCCAACTTTCAGCCAAATCTGCCCCCGTAGAAAAAAGTCGGTCAAGATCCGGCCCGTTTTCGGAAAATCGGGGCAGAAATAGTTGAAGCCTATTCCTTTCTCAGTAATTTCCAGTAAGACACAGTAACTCATTTGATTTTTGAGTGTTTTAGTTGCAACGATGGTCCCCTGGGGTACAGTTGCAGCAAAACTCGATCACTAATGAGTGTCGGTACTGCAATGAAATGTAGTGTTCGAGATACGACTTTCTTCCCAGATCCTCGACGAGCTGATAACTGGAAAGTTCTTTGCAGGAAAAGCAAACAGAAACGCAGTTATCGTAAAAGAACTAAGAAAAACGGGAATTTTTCAACCAGGAAAGCTAGCTGTGCACCGGTGCTCGCAACCTCCTTTATGGAAAGGATAGAAAAACCGGTACTTGAACACTTGTTGTTAAAGTACTGTAAGCATAGGGCTGAAAAGGAATACTTGTCACTATTGTGATTTTTTCTTTTTATTTTCTGAGCCAACAGTAGAAGTTACGGAACATTACATCCGCCATTGTAGTCAATACCGTGCTCCATCTAATAGGCAGGTCAGCAAGCCCATTCATCCAGAAATGGGGAGGCTGCGAGTCAAACAAGTCGGTGATCTCTCGGCTGATGTCATCAAAGTTGCTGATAGTTTTCTTAGCTAAGCAAGCCTCCAGGATGCGCAAAGATTGTAATAGTATGGACACGGTAGGCGGGGTATGATCTCCCAGCTTTGTTGCTGAATTTTTTGGAGGTCTCATAGCAGTGTGAGGTATCGCGTTATCACGAACGCGATGCGCAGAGGCTAGACTCGGTCATTTTCCTTCAACAGTTTCCACGGGTTTCTAGAGCTGACAAGGGAACCCCAACAGGTCGATACGGCCATTCGTAATGAGATGTATATGTGTGGACGTGCCTTGAGCCGCTAAATCCAAATCTGTTCTCCAAATTTCCGGAACGATTCTCTGAAAGGAGTAGGACCCTTTAATCTTGGCCCAGTTTCCACAACGTGAGAAGAATAACTGCTTGCGGCAAGCGGCCGATGGCCTAGTGGATATGCGCATGCCTCAGAAACACGAGGTCGCATGTTGGAATCCTTGACTCTAATTTTTTGCTTCTCTTTGAAACACTTGATATGAGCCACCAAAAAACTTCTGTTCAGCCGTTCCGCCTAGTTTTTTTTTGCCAACGGAAGGCGGGCGGTTCTCTTTTTGTGACTTCTTTTGAAAATTTTTATCATAAGGTTAACCGTTTCCAGAGACTGCATCAATGAATGAGGATCTTAAGGTTTATGAGCACAGGTATTCTTCCACGAAATAGGTAGAAACAAATACAAGTTGTCACAATGATCACAGCGAATGAAAAAGTACTCCGCACACCTGGTACAGTTACAGTTCTCCAGCACTTCAGCGGGGGAGCAGTACTTAAATTTTGTTTTTGGTTCCAACAGTATTCTGTCTTCGTGATCTGCGCCGGACCGATGTGGTCAGGCCTCATGATTGTGATCTATCGACACGTGGCATTCCGCATAAAGCAATCGCGGTTGATTTCTTGTTCTATCGACATGTTTTGCCCAAAACTGGTTCTGGCTTATCTGTTGAGGGATTTCGGTTCCTGTGAAATAATGCCTACCATCTCGTAGGGAGCGTAGAGTAATAGACAGCTTTCGGTCTATCTCGAGAGACGCCGTTTACGGCAATTTAATAATCGGCGTCGACGATTATTAAATTGCCTTAAAAAAATTGAGGACTATGTGGAAAAGGCTAAGACCTCCTATGGAGCACAGAGGACGAGGAGCGGAAAAGCAAAAAAGTTCCAGAGTCAAGGATTCCAACGTGCGACCTCGTGTTTCTGAGGCATGCGCATATCCACTAGGCCATCGGCCGCTTGCCGCATGCACTTATCCTTCTCATGTTGTGCGAACTGAGCCGAGATTAAAGGGTCCGTGACTCCCTTCAGAGAATCGTTCCGCAAACTTGGAGAACAGATTGGATTTAGTGGCTCAAGACACGTCCATACATACACATCTCATTACGAATGGCCGGATCGACCTGTTGGGGTTCCCTTGTGAGTAGCGCAAGTGGCAAGGTGACTGTGTTCTTACAGGGGCAGATCTTTGTGCAGCATTCCTCTCGTGCCCCAGAAGCAGC